TTGCCCAGATACCCACGTAGCACTCAAAGTTATGCAAAGAATGAAGCCAGTTCTCTGAGAGTTACTTTATCCATTAGTACATTTTTTTCACACCCTTTACTTTAGACAATCAGAATGTGAGAGAGGAAAAAAGAAGGTCAGGAGTATCTGACTAGGAGTAACTGTAGAAACAAGAAATTAAAGATGAGGGACTGAGACAGTGTAAATATCCACACGATGAGCCACAGCTTTCAGGTTTTCTCCTTCCCCTCCATCAATTCTAACATTGCACCAGTTCTGTCCTGATTTCAAGTCTCCTTGTAACAATTTATCCACTTCTCCCCCTTTGCAGAGTAAATTTGCTGTCCCTGTGCACCTCCTGTGTCTGATGACTGGGTAGGTGGTCTTGAAATTAATTTGAACACAGCAGCTTTCATCTTTCCTGCTCCTCTCTCCTCGCTGTCTCTTCCTCCTGCTGCTTCACAGGGTTAAATGGTTTTAAGAGATTGCTGGCAGTGGCAGTAAAGCATGCTGACAATGGGAGGCAGGCACAGGGGCTTGCATGACAGGCAAAGGGTATAGGCGCTTTGCTTTGCTAACGTTGAAGTGATGTGGAACTCAAGACCTAATCAAAAAACTGGAAAATAACCACATACAGAGGATTAAACTGCCTCAATTTGAACAAGTTTACACATTAGGGGGGAACAAATCCAGCAGTAGTTTTGATGTCTGGTAAGATAAACTCAAATTCATAATGTGATGAGTTATAATATCATTTTAAGAAGTATCTGTGGTACAATCATAAATATATTCTAATTTTTAGAGGTATTAACCTCGTCTTTGGATGCACTTGCTGTGTTTCACTCCTATGTGACCGCATGCCCTGCCCTGATTGGACATATCTGTGCCAGAGAAGCCTCACCTTCAAAGTGTTCAAAAACAAACAAAAAATAACTGGTTCATGCCCAGTTTCTAGAATTGCTTTCACATTTTCTACACTTTTCCTCACTTTCAGCCCCTCACCCACCAGGGAGACACAAAGAAATCATGCAAGGAGAAATGAGAAGAGGAAATATGTTGGTGGAGAAATGATACTTCCTCTCCTATGAAGCGTCACATGTAGCTGAGGGATTTCCATTTTTGTGACAGTTGATAACGTCTGGATCAGCTGCCAGTCGGCTTCAACAGCTGTTTGTGTCTGCATACATGTGCAAGGGACTTGTGCTAATAAACGCTCAGTTAGCACTATATTATATCCACAAGTCACACAGTTTATCAAATTCAGTGACAGAATGATGCATTTGAAACAGTCAACTGTGAGAGAAAAAAAAATCCACTGTGTTGACACTGCTGCTTTAACTTTTCAAGGTTCATTTTCTTCTAATCTGTGGTTGTAAACTCCAGATCCTTTGTCAAAGCCCTCCGTTTTGTTTCATACTGTTTTTTTTTTCCTTCTTGTAAGCGTTTTATCAAGGTCTGTTCACTTCCTTTCTCCGGTTACAAACTCCAGTGATGTCATAATGAGTAAGCTGCAGCGTCCTATCAGTAACAGATATCCAGTAAGTGGGCATGTCTGCCAGTAAAAGACTTCCATGAAAGCTGCCCTCATGTCACCTTTCTCTTTCCTTCATGGTGCAGAATTATGAAATTAGGGTCAGCTTGCAAGATAGTCTGTCAGGACTTAAAAAACAGATTTGCAATGAACCTAAGGTACAAATTCCTCTTTACTTTGTTCACTCTTTTGTTCACTCCAAATAGGAACTGCAGACAGTGTCCAAAGAACCAGAGTCAGACATTATTCAGAGTTGTCCTTTCATAAATGTAGCACACAAAAAGAGATGGTCCATGTCGGTTGCATACTAGACTATTGTAAATACATTTGATTTACCTGAGGGTTGGCATGCATGAGGAGGCGGAAGATCTGTTATGTTGACTGTTTTAATGCTCATCAATATTCAGTGTAAGGACAATGTCATCATATTACAAATACAGGAACAGAAAGTAATATAAATGCACAGGCAAGCATGCAGAAAAAAAAAAAAAAGCAACTACCCTCAGTTCAATGTCCACTCACTAACTCTGAACGTTCTCCACATTGACTCTCTATGTTCCCACACCTGCGTCATACATGAACTTTGTAGAAGGGAGCTGGATGGGTGAAGTCTTTTTCTGCACACATACAGACACATAAGCCTGGAGAAGGTCAGGGTTGCAGAGGAGGAGAGTCAAGTCTGCATTTAGGTCCTTTCCTCTGCATACATAAAGAACACAACACATTGATTTTTTTTCTTTTCATCCCTTGATCTTACCTGTAAAGCACAATCTGGAAAAAAAACCCAGTTATATTGATCTACTTATATTGCTGCTGACAGCATCCACTCACACTTATGTTTTATTGTTTTGTTGGTGTCATGCTGCTGATAACATTACATTTGACATGTTTCCCACCCAAAATAATTCCTCTGTCATGTTTGTTGTCAACCATCAAAGTAATAAGAAAAAAATATTTCTTTCAAATCCTCACTGAAAGCACTGGATGGACTTTGACTTATAAGTCAAAGGACCTAAGCTTGATCATTTTCTAACAATTAATGATATTATGGTGGACTCTTAAGAACCCCAGGGGAGATAAATCTGTGAATCATTTTTCTGAAACAACCCATCTGTTGAGGAAATCATTAAGACTTGACTCCATACAATAAAACTAAGTTGACTCAGATGGCTTATGTTGATGTCGTCACATTCAAGGGAAAAACAATGAACTGGACCCACATGCAGAATTAACTAAATCTATTCAATAAACAAAAAGCCCATAGGCAAACAAAAACTTACTTCCAAAAGTTAAACAAAAAAAAACCACAAGGACATACAGGAGCACAAGCAAAAACTGACATACAAACAACAATGAACTGAGACTAAATAGACATAGGGTAATCAGACACAGGTGAAGACAATGAGGGCAATCACACTGGAAGGAAAACACACACGAGGCAGGAATAAACACAAGACAAGAAACACTGGAGACTACAACTACTCTGGATCGTCAGGCGGGTGAACTGGAGGCCGACCAAACTCAGGGAAAAGTTCTGGTGGACGGTAGTACTGGAGTTGCCAGAACCTTCAACGAGGGAGAGAGTGCAGGAGTCCTCAGGGCCTCAGACGAGGGTGCAGGAGTGAGCAGGGCCTCTGACGAAGGAGCAGGAGTCAGCAGGGCGGCGCAGAAGTCTGCAGGGCCTCTGACGAGGCCGCAGGAGTCAGCAGGGCCTCTGACGAGGGAAAAGGAGCCGAAAGTAGGACCTCTGACGAGGGTGCAAGAGTCAGCAGGGCCTCCGACGAGGAAGCAGGAGTCAGTAGAGCCTCCGGCGAGGTCGCAGGAGCCGAAAGCAGGACCTCTGACGGAGACACGGGAGTCATAGGAATGGGCAGGGCCTCCCACAGAGACAGAGGAGTGGGCAGAACCTCCCACGCAGACACAGGAGTCAGACGGCACTTGGCCGGAATGGGGGGGCAGACAGCGCTCTGCCGGAACTGGTGGCAGACGGTGCTCTGCCGGAACTGGTGGCAGACAGCCCTCTGCTGGAACAGGAATAGGGAGCAGACAAGGCAAGGTCCAACAGAAAAGTCACCAGAGAGCCTGAAGAGATAGACTTCGGACATCTTGTGCCCCCTTTGACTCTTTCTCCTCCCGCCACGGGAACCAGGAAAAATTGCGAGCCGTGTCCCCTCGTAGTTACAATTTAAAAAATCTGCTGGGTCCATTGCTGGTCAGTTCATTCTGTCACATTCAGGGGAAAAACAAGGACTTGGACCCACGCGCAGAATTAACTAAATATATTCAACAAACCCAAAGGCAAACTAAAACTTACTTCCAGAAGTTCAACAAAAAACTGACCCAGAGGGGAAGAAACACAGAGACTAAATAGACATAGGTTAGACTAATGACACAGGTGAAGACAATGAGGGCAATCACATTGGAGGGAAAACACACAGAGGCAGGAATAAACACAAGACAAGAAACACTGGAGACTAGAACTACAACATAAATCAAGAAACAGTAAGATACACAGAGAACTCAAGAAAGTAACACAAACACACTAGAACATAAAGAAACACTAGGGTACGAAGTTACGAAATAACACACAAAACACTAAAGACTAAACTGTGAAACATTAGGACAAAAACACACAAGGGAAACAAGCAACACTAGGATAAACAGGAGAAATTAAAATATGGAAACCTAAATACTGAAATACAAAACTAAATAAGACCAAATCATGACGGATGAAAGTTTATATATAAGAAGAATACTCATGAGGAGACATGGTTCAACATCACACTTCTGTACTCGTGTCTTGCTCAATCACATCTGCAGAACTTTTCGAAAGGCCTCACCTCTATCCCAAGAGACATTACCATTATCAGGGTCGTGTCACATTGACACACCTAGACTAATCTGTGGCATCAATTACACTGGAGCAGACAACAAGTCTACCAAACATCCTTGTAGATATCAGGAAAAACAGTTGACACTCTCTAAGCTGTACTTGGTGTTCTAATAACAGCTGAACTCTGTCAGCTCTGACTGACATTAGAGAACAGTGAATAAACCTAATGACATCGGTAAATTATACTCTAAATAACTACAGAAATTCGGATTTAACATAATCAAATGCATCATTGAGTTCTGTGTGTGCTTTTAGGTATTTGTCTCAATGACCTACTTCACTGTAATCATCACTTTTAGAAAATATGAGTCACACACACATGACATTTGTCTAGTTTGTGCAACACACTGTAAGAACAATCCTATTATTTATGTCATTTGGCAGCAGCTTTGTTTTTTAGTTTCTCTTTCAAAATTAGCTGAAATTGGAAGATATTCTTTACATCATGTGCAAACCAGGGGATTTTTATTTCAGCCCTGTGACATTACATCTCAAGAAATCTGATTGGCTCTCTACAATTTGATAGTGTATAAAAAGGGATGTGACAAAGGTAAGATAAACAATACATATCTGTGTAATAGATGCACAGAGCAGTTCTGCCTTCAAAGCTACTTCCACTACAACTACTACTGCATGTTGATGAGTACAGAGAGCAGAGAATATGGACACTACAGTCAGAGGAACACTGCAGGCTGACTTTGATACATTTGATATTTCTGAAGAGCTTGGATTTCTGCTTGAAGAACCTCTGGTAAGCTCCCTTGTCATCTTTTCTTTTCCCATTCAACGGAAAATCCCTGTCTTTTAACTATTTTTTTGACATCTAAAACAGGTTAGGCTAGGAGATGTAGCTGTACCTGTGACAGTTCATAATAACATAGAATAGTCATTAGCCTTTATATAGATGTGGGGCCTTTGACTGACACATATAGCTATTGTTTTTGAGTGAGGTAATGAAGCGTTATTGATCCAGTAAAAGCCTATGTCTGTTTTTTTTTTTTTTTGACCTGTTCCTGTGCCTAGCTATTGGTAATTTATTTCTGCATAATAGTTGGTTGAAATTTAAATAGTAAATTAGGATATTCTTATGCCTATGAATGACTTATTTTTAAATACTGCAGAGGTTTTCAGAATATCTACACATGTAGGTGTTAAGCATAGCCCACTTGTCTGTTTATACAGTGACTTCACATTAGGGCATTCCATCTTTTTTTATTTACTTGGGTAATTTTCTCAGTTTATCTCCGCCTCCTCCTCTTTAAATTGCTTTCTGTCTGTGATTGATAGCTGCAGTCATTCCCTGACACGCAGGTCAGGCACCATGGTAAACACAAGCTGATGATATTTATGATTACACTCTACAAGAACATTCCCCCACATGTTAAATATATATATAACACAAATAAATAAGCATGTTATTGTATTCTTATTATCGTCTATAGACACACCTTCCAGACTATTATCAGGTTTGGCTGGACCTGGCTAATAATCTTGAGCATCTGATAGAGACGGGTAAACTAAGGGAGCTGGTTCATAAGGTGAGAATGAACACAAGTCAGTTTTTAAAACTTGTGTATTTGAATGTGAACACCAAAACTACAATATTAACAGTAAATGTGTTCCTTTTCCAGATGCCGCTCTTGAGCACCCACCTTTTGAGTAACCATCGGGAGCTCAGGCTGGCTCATCTAGCTCTGGGATTCATCAGCATGGGATACGTGTGGCAGGAAGGACAACAAGCACCTGCTGAGGTAAATAAGACACAGCACTGGAAGGTAGACTTTTAAGAAAAACATTTCCGTCTCTAATGAACTGACAATCTGACTAATAACTCTAGACATAATACAGATACGCTGTTAGCGCCGTGAGGCTGTAGTGCTTTAATGCCTTAAGCTACATGTTAATCTAAACATGACAACACACTAATGTGTAACAGTCAGGTATTAAAGAATTAAGGAGCTGTGCAGCTGAAGGTAATATAATTTTCTGCAGGTTATGTTCATACATAAGTATTGTAAATCTTTATATTATATGGTACTGGATAGATTCAGGGGTGGTCAAAGACAGGTTAATAACAAAATAGGAAAATAACTAGATTGTATGGCAATCTAATAAACAGCTGTATATTTACTTAGATGGAAAACTTAATTGTGGACCACTGCATCCAGTAAATATGTGAGAGCACACAGGATAACGGAAAAGTTACAACAACAAATGATGCTGGAGGAAAAGTCAGAAGAATACTTTAAGTATTGGACTAACAGACATGAACTATTAGAATGGCTAAAAGCCTCAGAAATGTCAGTAAAGAAGCACTACTTGTTTGAAATTCAACCTTTATGGTTGTTTGACAGATTCTCCCTAAAGCCCTGGCCTGGCCCTTTTGGCTGATATCTCGCAGGCTTGGCCTTCCACCCATCCTAACCTACGCGGACACAGTTTTGGCCAACTGGAAATTAACGGATCCCACAGGGTGAGTAAATATGTTTTGTTGTGATGTTTCAGTGGTTTTAGTCCACAGACCCTCTTTTGTTATAAGAAGAACCTGTTCATAGCTATTAGAACTTGACAGGACAGAGGAAACGCCCCAGAAAGGACAGAGGAAACGCCCCAGAAAGGACTGATTAACTTTAGCTTTTAAGATCAAATTTTAAATATTGTTCTGATGGAGCTCAGAATTTATAAAGAGGACTGCTGTTTCCTTCCAAACTATTTCACTGTATGAACCTTAACTGACTTTGTGAGACATTTTTACCATTAGATTGTGACTGATACTGTTGGCGTGTCTGGATATCTAAATTATATATGAAGTTACGGTGCTGCGTGACTCTTAACCGGGAGATGTAATGATCCTTTCCAACCGCGGAGTTGTCACTATAGTATTTTTTTTATAAATTCAGAAATATGTGCAACTCAACCGCTGTTAATCATTTATGACACGTAAGCCCAGTCCACAGCCATGCATTACCATGATGACACACAAACTTTTGCTGAACAAAGCACTTGAAACGCTATTAAAAACAAACAAAAAAACCCCCCACAGACTTTACTGATAAATAGTCATCCTCTCCATCTTCAGAGTCAGAATGCAGTAAACGAGTCGAGTCCAAGTCTAAGTCCGAGTCATTAGTGCTCGATTCCAAGTCGAGTCAAGAGTCCTGAAAATCAGGACATGAGTTGAACTCGAGTCCCAGTCCTGGACTCAAGTAGTACAACACTGACACTATTTAACTGAATGTTAAATATAACAGCTGGGTACTTCTGTCTCCAACAAAAACTTGAGTTCTCTTCTTCTTCTTTTTTCATTTCAGAGAAATGGAAATCAGGTGAGTTGAAGGGAAAAATAAATCATCTTCTCTGTTTTGCTCAGCTGCACTGTCACATGTTTTTTTGGGGGCAACTCAATCATATGATGTTCAGCTCATTTATTTTCAAAACATCATTTTCGATAAACAGGAACATGGACTTGATATTTTCCTTTCCTGGTGGAGAGAGTTGCAGGGGATTTTTTATAGTGTCACAATTGGTCGAGATGGCTGCCAGTTCAGGCGTAACGGTTAGTACTGACTGCGGCTACTCCTTCCTCTTTCATTTTAACTCTTTCTGAACCTCATCATAATGCCTTTTTTTCCCCATCTGCCCACCTTCTCTTTTAGTGTCTATCCACATACTGTTTGTGTCCTGATCCTTATCATTTAGTATTGAATATTAAACTTTCAACTCTATACAGGGGGTTCTGGAGGTGATGCATGCAATGAAAATCTCAGACCTCAGCGGTGTGCAGAGAGGTCTCAACAAAGTGACTCAGTCTTTGAAGAGGATGAAGGAAACTTTCAAACTCATGCACAGTAAATTTGAATTATAACTTGTCCAATCCGAATTTAATCCATTTACATGCTGTGCATTTTATGAAGGCAGAAGGTAATTACAGTGACTGAATTTGTTCTCTTCTCAGATCATGTGGATCCAACTCTGTTTCATGGAAAATTAAGACTTTTTCTTTCAGGGTGAGTTATAGGGCTTTTAAAACGCCCAATCTCAAAGTTATTAATTAATTTAATATCAATCTTATCTGGTGCAGATAAAAGTCCTAGTGTTATAACACCTGTTATAAGGATAGTACTTGTGTAAATCAGTGTACTTCTAGTGATGAAAGATACAACAGAAAACTCAAAGTGCTTTGTATTTTTTTCGGTTCTCTGAGTTTTTGAAATTTTCAAACTCCAAAACAAAAAACACAAACCAGAAGTTATATTTTTTTTCAAATCCATTATTACTCCTTTATCCTTTCTGAAGATTATTTCCTTTTTAACAATAGATGGAAATGGAAATAACACTAAAAGTCCACCCCCCATGCTTCTATTGCTCATATTTCCACTGCTGAACTCTGTGTATTAGCATGTTAAATGGTATCATGTTCTCCTACTCTCATGGTAATGTGCATCTACGAAAAGGAACGTTATAGAACATGTATGTTTGACCTGCTTTAGGTGGCGAGACAACCCTTTGCTTCCATGCGGGTTGTTATATGAAGGTGTGAGCGATGAGCCAATTTTTTTATCAGGCGGGAGTGCAGCCCAGAGTTCAGCCATTCAGTGCTTCGATGCTTTGCTGTGTATCCGACACGAGGATGAGACAGGTGAAGACGCATTTGCCTCAACCTCTGACCCTCTCTGATGTTTCTCATGAATGAATCACTCTGCCTGTGCTGTCACTTGATTGCCCTGACAGAAAATGTTTCCAGCAAAGGTTGTTATTTGCTTCCTTTCTCTTCATTGATTCACCTTATCTAGGTGCCTTCCTGACACGCATGAGGGATTACATGCCTACCGCCCACCGTCATCTGATAGAAACTTTATCCGTCGGCCCATTTCTGAGAGACTTCATCCTATCTCGCTCCAGCTCTGACCTCTGCCAGGCCTACCGATCCTGTGTATCAGCGCTGGTGGATTTACGTAACTATCACCTCAATACCGTCACCAAGTACATCATTGTGCCTGGGAATCGAGCCCGTGCAATCGGCTGCCCGTTCAGAGGTGCGTGTACTGCACTGAACAAGACCGGGTCCGGTGGATCCGTCCTAATGTTCTTCCTTAAGAGTGTTCGTAATAACACCCAAAAAGCACTGATCTTAAAGAGAACACCACAAACTGAAATATGATATAATCGACAGCATATTATACCATATCGTATGCATAATATTCAACAGAGTTGTATTACATCATCTACTTAGTATTGTATGTATTAAAGGTTTAAAATCAGTATCATATATTATTTTTACTTCTCATTTTGCTGCAGTAATGTGAAGAACTACTGCCTTCCATTGGAGGATTATTTTGGCCAGTGGTAAAGAAAATATTAACATGGTAAATGAAAATTCTTACAGTAGCCAAAATCATCAGCAAGCTAAATTAATGGACTTACTACCGCAAACAAAATGCAACTTTTTCTGTTTATGTTTGTACTGCTGCCAGTCATGGGCTTCCATAAAAAAAGTTGTTTTTTTATCACTTAGTAAACTAAACTTCACATGTAAACATACATTGTATTATAACATGATATGACTGTATGAAGACCAAGCTACAGCAAATGACTAATGTTGCATTTGAAATTGTTTTTATTAAAATCATGTATTGTTTGCAAAACCAAGACAGAATCTGTGCAAAGCTGAATCTTTTAATTTCTTTAGCTTAATGACTTTATCCCTCCACTATCATAACATTGCCTGATCATGTTGCTTATGACATGTTTTTAACAGTAAGCAACAAAAAAAATGTAATGATTTTCAATAAAGCCGCTAAAGAAAGAAAAGCGTTTTAGTGAATTCACTTATTTTACTTTGGTAAAAACGACATTGAAACTGGGATCTCCTTGGTGCTTGACAGTAAGTAGCAGATGGCAGAGGAGGAAGATAAATGTAGAAAGAACTGTGAGCTGTGGAAAGAAAATAGAGGAAGAAAATGCGAAGGGAAATCAGATGATACAGGACATTAGTTAAATAAAGCACAGGAGAATCAGCTGAGGAGAATGAAAGAGACGGACACAGTAGGGGTAATCTGGGGAGAGGGAGGGATGGATGGATGGATGTGGGATCAGGTCACTCAGCTTGATGGACTGGAACCCCCACTCCCTTGCTGGTCTTGACTTGAAGGTTGTGTCTCTTCTCGCTATTGAAGACTAATCACATTAGAAAGGAAAAGAGGGAGCTGAACCGCACTGCTGCTGAGCCCTGGTCATGGTCCAAGTCTGCTTCACTAAAGCACAAAAGATGTAAAATGTGGGCTGTTTGACAGCTACTGAATGCAGCTCCGGCTGTGCCTACAGCCAGTCCTGGTGCAGCGCTCTACTGTCACATAGGGAAAGTGTTAGAGTAGTGTTTGAACTTTTCCTGTATTTCTAATTCAGTTTTTCCCCTTGAACTAACAACTCTGTGTTTCTAAACATAGGAGCACAGGACTATCCTGTTTTTACGTAAACTCTGCAATATAAAAAAAGCTTTCCAAAGTGTTTTTTATTTTTTTAAAAATCACGTTTTACAATTTCTATTTTTTAACAAGAATGGTTCTAAATACTACTAAATAACTACAGTTCCCATTAGTCCTTAGCCTCCATTATTGAAAACAGGCCTTTCAGAGACTCAAACTCAATAGTAAATAACTTAAATATCTTTGTCATTGCAGGTTTTGAAATGTTAAAATAGTTGTGATTTCAACTAAAATCAACCCAAAATTGTCTTAACTTCAAAATCGTACACTTCTGCTTGTCTTCAGTGTCCCAAGTCACAGAATCTTAAGCTTGTATAAAAACACACCTTTTTATTCATCATGTACCTCTATTAAAAAAGCTTATAATTATCTTCAACTTTTAGACCTTAGTTTTGGTTATTAATTTATTGACTCATAAGGGAAAATGTGCAACACCTGTGATTTCATGCAACATTTTCCAGGGAAGAAATGTTGAGGACTTTTACTACCAGAAACACGGGCTACCAGGTAAAAGAGTCTGTTCTTTATTATCCTTTTTTTCCAGTTTTGTATTTACATAATTTTTTTGTTCAGTTATCATTTCCTGTTTTCTTTATTACTTCCCTATTTCTAATGTGTAACCCTACTTCCTTCCTTTTCTTTTCCTGTCTTTATGCGTGCCCTGCCCTCATTGTTTTCACCTGTGTATGATCAGCGTTACCTCTCCCTGCTACTCCCGTTGTACACAATCTTTGGCTGTGTCGGAAATCAGCCACCACTCAGCCATTTCTTAGTGTTGTCCTAATCATTAGAAACTATATAGTGGACTCATGTATCCTAAAAAGCCTTATGGAAAGTAATAAATTATGGTGGGCAGGGAAAAAAAGTGGATGGAGTTTGTATGGGACAAATAAATAAGAAGTACCGCATAAATAAAGTGATTCTTAAGTGAAAACATGTTCAGTATAATATAAGTTATCACTGAATTCATGACATTATTTATTGTATATTATTTATATATTTATGTCTGGCAATACGAGAACAGTCCGACACTGTTTCTTTTTAGCAGTAAATGAGTCTGTGATTTCGGACACAGCCTTTGTCCTCCCCTTTCTTCAATGCCAGTTTTTTTTTTTTTTTTTTTAACCCCAGTCTCTTGTGTGGATGTTCCTCTACCTGTGTTTGTCACCTGCTTTGTTGGACCTTGAAGTGTTTCCTTGGTATTTTCACTTCCCTGGACACCTCAAAGTAAGCCTAAGGCTTTTCTTTTTGTTGACATAAATTCTTCTTAGTCTGCATCTGGTGCCTCGCTCATGTCTTAACCCAAGAGAGCCATTCTCTTCCCATTTGTCAGCTGTATTGCCTCTAGTGGTCAGTAGAAATAGCAGCACACCGTATCACCTTCAGTTGAAAATGATTTAATAGTGATGTAGAAACAGTAGAAAAATGCATAATATTGCACATATTCATTGAATTGCACTTTCTTAAGATACAGATCTTTGCATGGACATTAGTGACCTGATATATATGTGATCAACTGTCTGATGAGGGGAGCTTAGTATGAGTCTTCCTGACATTTCTTGGAACATTTTACAGTACAACAACCGATATAAGATCTGCTGTTATAAAACTACTTCAAGTATTTGGCAAATACCTGCTTTGTAACAGCGTGCGAATTCAGTATCATTGCTACATTATCGTGTTTGTCTTTTTTTTAAATCTTATTCTGCACTTGTCCAAAGCTAGTGGCTACAAGTCATCTCTGGGGTAAGATTGCTACCATTTTCCTTTAGCACTGTGTATAGCCCTTCTACTCGTGCAAGTTCAGTGCACAGTTGTTTGTGTTGGTTAGTAGACAGATGTTTGGTGTTCTGTGATGTAAAGTGTTTGTTGAGAAAAAATGAGCTTCATTTTACATGATGAAACTTTCAGCTAAATGACAAAAAATAAAATAATACAGAGCAACATTTAAAGTGTTAACATGAAACAAATGACAAAGAAGAGTTCAAGAGCGTTTGTGACAGAATGGGTGACTGAGAAGCAAGGCAGATTCTTCATGGACTCCAAGAGAAATGTCAAAATAGCCTTTACTTTTTGTTGTAAATAAAAACAAAACATTGTATAAGTTCTCATAGAAAATACTCTGCCTTAGAAGTAGTCAAAACATTATATATTTTCTTTAAAAAAATCAGACTTAACCCAGAGCAATCCATTTCAATAATTGTACCTGCTTCAAGAGGAGGGAACTCAAACACGTTTTTTTTTTTTAATGTTCATTTCATCTTTCTTTGCTAATGATGAAGATACTTTAAAATATAGATTCTGAACATGATGTGTCAGTGTGTAGCCAACTGAAAACGACAGGACGGCTGAGGCAAAGTTGGCTGGCTAGTTGGTCGCTTGCACAGTGAGCTAAATGGAGAGAGAGAGAGAGAGAGAGAGATAGAGATAAAGGGAAAGAGTTACAAAGAGAGGGAGGAGACGGGGGTTATTAACAAAGGCAGGCAGACGTTCAGTCTCACAGACAAACTGAGCAGGATGTTAAGAGATAAGGAGGAAGAGGAGAGAATAGACGAGGTTATAAGAACAGCGCTGACACACTGCAATGTACTCTACTGTGGTTTCGGTCTTTTTAAGCATGTGTCTCTCAAAAGTCAAATGTTTGTGCTTTGCCGCAGGTGGGGCTGATGTCCATTCAAAGATTATAGCTTCAGTCATAAATGGCCCTCCACATGGCGCCTCCTCTTGTTGCCAAGCAATATGCTCTGAGGGGGGAAGCAGACCAAAAAGTGCATTGCATTTGAGGAAGCGATAAGAACACATAAATATAAAGTGAAAGGTGCATTTATCCAGTGTATGAATCATCACATCCTTCCTAAAAAAAGACAGAAATGTATCTCAAAGCTCACCTAGTTTCTGCAGGTGTGTGTCAATCCTCTTCAGCGAATATGCCAGAAAAAGGTTTGACAGAATTTAAAATGTTTTTCGTTTTGTTTTTGTTTTTTGCTTTCCCGTCTTGCAGTCTCAATTTAGAACCCCATATGAACTGATTTCCGTTGTCATCCATTCTCTTATGTTAAATGCTCACTCTGAATACTCCTTCATCCACTTTTTTTCCGGGAGGATGACTGGGTATTAAAACGCCCAACAAAATAGCTTTTTCCAGAGCTGTGATGTTTGATTCAAAGGAACCAGAGTTTCCAACGAGCATGCTTTTTGGACTCAGTCTTGGACTTGCGTTTGGGGGTGGATGTGAACACTTCATTGGAGTAAGGCAGAGCAGGGCATTGTCGGCTGTCCAGGGGGTAAAGTCTCTTCATGAGGGGCTGTAGCTTATCCTCCTGTAGCTTGAAGTCCAGCTCAACACTGTAAGGCAAAAACAAGAGGAAGTATTTCAGAATACTTTGATTTTTTTGTTGTCGAATATTGTGCTTAAAGGTCCTGTGGAGAACTTTCAGATTGTATAGATTTTGGCAACCCCAGTAGAAAAAAACCCACATCTCTTATGTCTTTTCTGTTATTGTCATGCACAAGCAAGAAAAAAAAAATCTCTCTACTGTCAAATGTATCACTCACAGTGTCTCTGTTCTTTGGAAAATGTCTCATGATGTAGTCATGCTTTGTCGGCACAGTAATAGTAGAGACAGGCATTAAAAAACACCTTTACAAAAATAGCCAGTCTTCTTGATGATGGTATGTTTGCTGTTGTAGGTAATGTGGACGCAACCATAGTTATTTCAGCCTGTTCTTTCATCAATTAGAAACTCCTCACATTCGCTTTTACCTTGCAAGAATACATTTCAAATGTCTCAACTGGAAAGTCAAATTTATTCATCTGAAGTTAGCCGTTTGTCTTTTGCATGGCTTTAAAATCTATGACTCAGTTTTTTGCCTTATTTTTCTGTGTTAGCAGTCCACTGATGTCCAGATGGAGGCTGGGAGGAAGGCACACGATTCAAATGCACCGGTAGACACCCTGGCAGCACATATCTCTTGCAGCACATATCCACATTTCAGACTCCTCCGAGTAATAGAGTTCCTTTGCATCATCTCTGTATTTTTTTTTCCCCCTCTCCCATGCAGTCAAAGGGGCTTTTCCTGCATAGATTATATTCATACCAAAAAAAAAAAAAAAAAGAGCCAGAATGTGGGTTGCTTCTGACATCAGACTACCACATGCGCCAGTATAATCCCAGGCTGGTCATCGACTGATTTTGTCCCCGCACCGTAGTTGAACTCTATCTCCGATTAAATCTCTGCGGCCTGGGAGAAATGTGGGGCTTAATCCCATCCAAATGAAACCATGGAGAGGCCAAACAGAACCTGATTAACTGCCTGTATTCAAGC